GTGTATGCAAGTGTTGAGTAGTATTGGTGTCGCTTGAGTTGGTTGAATACTAATGCAAAATACTTGTTAGGAATCCGTATTCACCAGATTTACATACATTGCAAGTGTCGACCAAAGCTTCGCAACTGATAACAACTAACTGTTGAGCGGTGTTTGAGTCGAGAATCCAATTCATTAGTATTGCCAAAAAAGAATTGACTCTTTCTATGGCACTGTTAGTACATTTGCTACACTAATAATACACACCTCGATTCTACAGCATATATACCGTAATATATCACGTCAGTATGTTCATAATGGATTATGATGAGTTGTGTCATCAGTAAGTAATCAATTCCGCCTTAACCATAGTTTAGATTATCATATTTCGCCAAATAGCTAGATTTCCTGACCATCCGCATCTAAAGGACTGGTAGGCGTTCTCAATGCTCTTCATCTGTTTGCTTGGAGTGGAGTCTTAGTTGAAATACTGGCGCTTAAAGAATATGAACCAAAACAAGTATATGAGTGCCACTAACAGAGAATCGATCTAAAGGACTGGTAGGCGTTCTCAATGCTCTTCATCTGTTTGCTTGGAGTGGAGTCTTAGTTGAAATACTGGCGCTTAAAGAATATGAACCAAAACAAGTATATGAGTGCCACTAACAGAGAAAAGTTGGATATGGATGTAAGTGTCACCCATAATCATCGCAATGCTTTTAAAACACAGGATTCACGGACAAACTCATCGGGAAAAGGATTTTTTATAAAGACCTGGGTCATATTCTGCCTATTAATTGTTGCCGTATCGTGTATTGTGGGCATTGCAGTCTTTGTCGCACTTTTCAACCCTTTCCATAGCTGTGTCTGTGATAATAGTACAACAGTTGTGTCCAAATGTATGCTAAATACTACTAATAAAACTCATAATAATTGCTTAATGAGAGTGTCTTCGGACTGTCCAACAGATCAAACAAAAGTTTCACCACTTTCTGCATCAACTGATCACTTGTACGTCCGATTGCCCACAAGTATTCTTCCCATTCATTATGACGTTCAGCTCCAGACCCATATCGGGCCCAAAGACTTCTTCTTCGATGGCAACGTTAGTAACAAATGAATTAATTTGAACTTCAATTAAACTACAAGTCTTACAACTTTTATAATTGTAATTTTTACTTATTGAAAATTTTGTGTGCATTTTTAGGTAACAATTTGGTTGAACTGCACGGAAGACACCAATAACATAACGGTTCACATCAATGATATAACCATTTATAACGAATCCATAGTTCTTCTCGACGACAGAGAAAAGCATTTGTCTTATATCTCAAACTTTACTCAAGAAACCAAACGACAATTTTTTATAATAAACTTAAATACTAATCTGAAACACGGAAAGCAATATATATTAAAAATCAAATTTAAAGGCAATCTCAACGATGACTTATCCGGTTTCTACAGAAGCTCCTATAAAGACACCGTTGGAAATAAAAGGTCTAATTTTCAGTCATATTTTCTAAGTTTTTAATCATTCACTCTTTGTTTATATGTTTGAATATTATTTTTAAACCATGTCATATAAGCAATACTCTAGCAAATTCCCTTAACGTGATCGAATATTAATTAATTAATGACAAGTGCATTGGTGAATTTGAAATTTGATATAAAAATTTTAAATCAAGAATGCAAAATTTTGAATACAATAATTGTTATTATATACCCAATACAACTGTTTTTAGATAAACATTAAATTTTTATTAGTTGTACAAATAGGAATAATTTTAAATGGCAATACAGTATTTGATGCAAATAATTTTTTACTTCAAAATCAAATTATGTTTCAATATATAATATAGTATATAAACATTAAAAACATGATTAGGTTAGAGTAGAGTAGTCTAACAGTTATTTAAATGTTTATAAATCTTGTAGTCATAAAATTTTTATACTAAATTGTTTTGACAATTTCAGAATATTAATGTTCAAAAATATTGCTAAAATATCTATACTACAAACTTTATGTTTTTACCATAAATGTATTACACCCATTTTATAGTGGTGTACAAAAATATATTAAATTAATTTGGCTATAAAACATAATTCATTAATTTAATGTACTTTTCAGTTCTAAGCTTCAATTTAAAGTGTTTATTATTCGACAATAAAAAAAAGTTTTATAGTGATTATACAGTAATTGATATAATTTGTTTCAAGTAAATCAAT